AGCTTTCTCTCTGAAGGAAACACCGTCTGCTGAAGCATTTTCATTCATGTGTTTATATATTTCAATATTTGATCAAATTTGATAGTTTACTATAAAAACTCATTGTTTTACAGTTGTCTGTCTCTTTCTTGTGTAACATTCCATGTGTTTGAAAATGTGGACATCTGGTTTTCAGTAGCCTGTCTTGCTATTTAGTATAACCTCAAATTTGTTTTTCATTATCTTCTTTTTGCTTGATTTGTTTTTTCCTCGCAGTGCTTATAATTTTCGGGCAAATGCCAAGATGTCAGCTGGAGGGAGGTTTGTAAATGCAATTTTAGCCTAAGCTATGTTTAGCAGCTTTAGAACTGTAAATTTACTATTTAGCACTTTGTTTTCATTTTTTTTGACATTTTTAGTGATTAACAAATTAAGTAATGGACTAATTAATAAATAATGTATGACAGATTTTTTTTAAATATGACTTTTATATGCTTGAACTATACATTTTGACAAAATGAGAGCCCAGACCTCAGCATTAGGCAGCAAACATCCAAGAAAGCTGTGGTGGAAAGTGCAACGAGGTCAGCCGTGGTCAAGCTTTTTAATTATTGCATGCAGGAGAGAAAAACAGACATCGACCATCACAGTTACACAGTCAGGAGAGCTCTGCCCTTGAGACGTCGCAGCTCCCTTTTCACACACAACTCTCTGTATTGTTTCAGTAACAATAGTTTCTTGTCCACCTGCGCTGTTGCTGGGCAGAGAGCTTCCACACTATGCTCCAGGAAGCACCCGGCACTTGCCTCCCTGGGAGTTTCATACAGTCAGCACAGCAGATAACATAGTTAAGCTAAGCAGGTCATATTGACACATGCATCCTTCACCTAAGAAATACAAGGCTATGCAAAGTTCTACAGTGAACTTGTAACCACTTAATCTAAATGTGAGAATAAACTAGAATTTTTCCTTCACGCGTTTTTAAAATGTCTCTGAAGAAGCCTGGAGAACTGTTCCTGAAGACTATTTAATGAAATTCCAAGAAAGCTCGCCTAAGGAAGTTCAGGCTGTGTTGAAGATTAAAAATTGTAATATTAAATATTGACTTTCAACCTTATTAGAACTGTACAAACTCTGCATTTTGGTGTGTTTGCACAAGAGTTTTACATAGTACTGACTGTATATGTGAAAATTTTTTGTTAACTCATAACTTACACCTATTTGGCCAATAAATAAAATAAAATAAAATAAAATAACAAGATCACAAAATATTGAGTTGTAAAACAAATAACCGATAGACTATTTAAATTATTCAAATGTCCCACAGTCAGTGAACGCCTCACCGCTCACCGCTGTGTGACTGCAGATCTGCGGGTCTGGAGGATGAGGAGCGGCGGGGATGCTTGCTGCCCCCTCTCCTCCGATGATACATCCGATTCTGCTCGTAGTCTGAAGGGAAACAGCCACAGCCATGGCCTCTGACAGTAAGTATACCCACCTCCTCACCGTGTGACTGCATCTAATGTTTTTAGTTTGCTTTTTTTTCTCCCTGTCTGCTGTTTTCAGGCTCCCCTCCTGGTTTATTTTGACTGACTGGGAGCGCCAGTACATGAAGGCCAATGTATCAATTCCTTTAATTTGCTACAGATAATTTTCATATGGAGCGAGACTGTTGCTCTTAAGGAACCTTTTCCAGTCATCGTTTAAGCGAATTTAATTAATTATGTCAATCGTTCTGCTGGGGCTTACAGCAAATTTGTGATACTCCGGAGAGTTAATAGTTGCCTCATCATGGCCACTTCAAGGACGCCTATTTTGCTCGCACAGTTGGGAATAATAGCTAATTGCACATGAAGAGCATATAATATGAGAGACATTGCAATACATATCGGTAAGGACGTTGATAGAATGTAGCGGGATGTGCTGGATGTTACACGGGGTTTCCCTTTCTTCTGCCAGTGGGTTTCCCAAAAGCAGAGCCTCCCTTTAGGCTGCTCTGTCAGTCAGGCGGCGCAGGTGGTGGGGACAATGATGGTTTGTCAGGTAGAAGTGGTTCAGAAACAGACACGGAGACGTCGTTTTGTTTCATAAATTAAAGCCAGAAACACGTGTCATATTTTACTATATTTCATTTTAATGTAAACTGTTGCATAAAAATAGTTTGCAAGTTCAAGTTGAACTGTCGAGTTACCCTGTGTCTTTCAAGCAGAGTATTAGAACTACAGAACTCCAACATGGCATATTCATTCATTCATTCATTCATTCATTCATTCATTCATTCAAATAGAGAGTAACTCAACAGCTGTACATATGATATCTATGCGAGGCTTGCTCTTCAACGACTTTAAAACTGTAGCCCTTTGTATGTAGAAATATTTTGCTGTCACTATTGTTAATAATAAAAATGGATTTTGAGGAAATAGATGTTGGTGAAATGCAACAAAATGCAAAAAAAGCATAAAGGCTTATGTGCAGGTCGGTTAAGTCTGTATCATGAGACTTCAGATGCAGCTCCAAAAAGCTGATTCTGTTCGTTTGGGTATAACGTGAATATCCTGCAGCAGTAACGCCAAATGGCCATGTTAGGTGACAGGCAAAGTGTTGTTATTTTTGTTGTAGAATTTAGTTTACTGATAACATTTTATTTGATATATTTTAGTGTGCAGTCGATTTACTTAGACAAAACAAAAAAATCATGGGCACTGATGCATGCAGGAGGACATTGCAAAGCATAAGTGTGCTTCCTCATGCTCAGGCCACATTTGCAATAGGTATTGTTAGCTCTGGTATATTTCATATTTGTCAGGAGGCTTGACTACTAAAAAGATGCTTCTGTCAAGATTTAGAGGACACTTACTTTGACAGAAGGAGACCAGATAGTTGCTTAAATACATGCAAGTGGAGGCTGTGTGAAAGACCACAGGCAGGTTGTCATGTTAAGATTTAATGTCTTTTTTTTTTAGCCTGGTGATGCTGGTGTGAGTAGCTGTTGTCTTAAAACCCACCCCAGGTGAGACACTGACCAAGGAATAGGCTTATTTCTGCTTAAATTGGAAGTTGTCCTACATGAGCTGCCAAAAAAACGTTCACATACAGTTTACTGTGTCAGCTGTGACTCTGAGAATGAAAAACATGTTACTGAAAACGAGAAACTCATCTGTAAGTCAAGAATTATTGGGAATCATAAAAAATCAATAGATGTGTGGAACAGCAGCCAGAGACTTTTTGAGATGGCTTATACTGGATGTTTACATCTTAACCTGTCAGTGATGCTAAGACAAGATTCAGAACAGCATCAAAGCAATGCTCAGCATGCTCCGCAAAACAGTAGGAAGCAGTTAGCCATGCACGAGAGGCTGTTTCTGGTTATTGTGGCCTAGTTACAGACTGCTTCAATGTCTTATTCATGGCTCTCTCCTCCCCGCTGTGGAGGAGGGCTCTCAATACGATCTAATGTTGCTGCTGCTGCTTCTGCTGTGTGTTGCTGTGTGTGTGTGATTAGCAGTATTAAGACATTTAAACCGCCTTGAAACCCATTTTCCCTCTTTTTTAAGAATAAAGGCCTAATGGTGGAGTTAGTGCCCTATTAGAAAGCAGGCCCACATAGCCAGTCGCTGTTGCTTTGCCTTACAGGCTTATTGAAGTCACTAAAAATTTCTCGCAAGAGTAGAGTAGAAAGTAAACTGAAGCTACAGCAGGTATCGGCCACAGTCAAAAGTGTCCACAGGGGGGCACAAGAGTTCTTTTTTGGCTGTCCGGCAAACAGAGAAAATTTGGGTCCACTGTTCTCTCTGGTTTAA